ACACACACACACACACACACACACACACACACACACACACACACACAAGAGGCATTATTGAAATCTGCAACATCACTTTCCACCGAAACAGGGAAAACAAGGACAGCTCCAAAGGAAATGTCAGCACATGTCTGACAAACACGCAGCAAAAGCTAACTGGTCCCTTTGTGAGCGGTGACCACAAACAGGAGACATGTTTTTTTAGTTCTTCTGGGAACTTTGTACCTGCACTTGTTGAGAAACAGTTGTTCTGTTTGCTTGCAATAGTGACCAGAATAATAACGAAGGTTTATCTGTGAAATGTGTGTGAAATGAGATTTAAATTATTTCAAAATCAGCATAATGCTCGTCTCCAGTGATAAAAAAAGCGTCTCCAAACTGTGTTAATTATGCTGACTGACTAAATTTGCCGCAGACATACAATCTGTCACTGCGTATATTAACGGCGTTAAAGGATGTGTCATTTCTCTAAAAAGACTTTGAAAAGGGCAAACATCGAGAGCGTTTTAATCTGCCAAAATGAATCAAACTGTCACCATTGATGTGGTGGTGCGGTCTCACCTTATGATTTTGTTGCAGGCGCCACATACCGGGGTGCTCCCGCTATCTTCGGCTGCGTGCTGCGCAGCCTGCAGTATGGAGCTGCGGTTCTGCATAGGTGTCGGCTGGACCGGCTGCTGGTGCTGAGTCACGACTGTGCTGGTCTTGTCTGGCCGAAAGCGGTCGGCGAAATTAGGGTCAGTGACCCACGGTGGTCGAGCGGAGGGACCTGAACTGCCCGCTGCTGCTGCAGTCTTGGAGCCTGGGCCAGGGGGAAACAAAACAAGGACATTTGTTTTGGAGTTACAGCAAAACACTTGGCTGTGACTTTGAATTATTGCACAATGGGGACACTTTTATGTAATATACACGCTCCCTCCAGATGTACATTGTAACAGATTTGTGTGTCAACGTTGTCGCTGCTGATGTTCATGTATTGACACTTAATAAGAATCTATTAGCACAACCTCTACTGGATGCTGCTGCGGTTCTTCATATACGCATCAGCAGGAGCAGAAACTCACCATCTGGTTTATCTGCTGCCTGGGCCTTGGCAGGTGAGGGAGTTGGCTCAAAGCTGTGAAGAGGAAATGACTAATTAGAGAAAGCACACGCACACACACACACACACACGCACACACACACACACACACACACACACACACACACCTCAGCAACCATGGTTACTACTCAATGAATATCATGTTTGGATATCAGCAGCCATCGCTGTCTCCATTACGTTGTACCACAAATGACCTGGTGTGTGATTGATAATAAGCATCATGATTAATATGAATCGGTATGGACAGGATTACCATGGGCTTCTCACCTGTTGCGGCCGGTTGAGTGTCGCCGATTCAGGTGAACGTTAAAATACACGAATAGAATTGGAATTGATTTGCGGGCCATTGTACACGATAAACACCAGCCTTTGTGAGACTTAATCAATCACGCAATTTAAATGATCAATGGCGCAACAACAGATGCCACGGTGCGCAGTCGGTGAAGGCATTAACAAATGGTTGAAGAGCTGCTACTCTAATGAGAGCAACCAGAAACATGAACGTCTCGGATTGATTGACGTCACTCACGGGCGAAGTTGGAGAACGACAAACTCAGACACGCTCTGCTGACAGATTTGGATGCAGACGAGTTTCGCTCCGAGCCTGCATGTGCAGAAGTGTTGAAATAAAGAGTTTGTTTCCTCATTTCAAAGTTCCGTTACCCGCAGCAAGCGTCACTATATTCAGAAAATCTTCAAACCATGACTGAGAAGAAAAAAAAAAAAAAAAAAAAAACAACTTCTGAGCCAAGAGTGCGTTCTGGAGACGTCTCATCTTGGGAAAAAATATAACACTGCCTAGGGCATCCATCGTGTTTACATCAGCAACTGTGCAAGCTACAATACACTAATGAAACATGATGAAATCATTTCTCATTTGCAAAGAAAAAGAAGAAAATCTGAAATGAATTACCCTTCAACAGCCTTGCGCCGCCTGTACCAGGTTAAAGTTGCCCATCAATTCCACTTCTTATGTAGCCACACAACTACATAAACATAAGAAGCTACAGAGGCAGGAGAAGTTACAGACAGAGCTGGGAGCTATTCAGCAAGAAGACGAACAAAGACAGTACGCTATTTTCCAACAGCGTACTCTGAGTAATAAAAAGGACATTGAATCCCTTTGCAATAGCAAGAAGATGGCTTGCAGGGCTGGTGCCAGCCAGGAAGTTAAATCTTTCTGAATTAAGGACGGTGAGATTTTCGGAAAGAAACTACAGCAAAACAGAGTAAAAAAAAAAGGAAGCGAGGAGGCTGGATGAGAAAGATATCCGGCAGTTGGGTTAAACAAAAAGGACAGAACAAACCTGGTTTAACACACAGACCCTGGGTCAGCCACCTTTCACCCCACACACTAGCAAGCCTGCCTTCTGGGACCCCCGCAAACAACATCCTGGCCTCTACGCTCCCTTACAGCGCTGGCCTACATGACAACAGACCAGTGGCACCGACTCCTCAAACACCTTTGAGAGGTTTGTTTGGCTGCACCTCACTCTAGTGAAGGTTGCAGGTGCAAATTGGAGTACATCCTCTACAGCAGCTTATTCCCACCTGGAGCAGCCTGGATCATGTTTTCTTGACATTTGCACCGTTTCAACATCCTCCTCCTCCCCCTCCTGCTCAGCATTATGCAGGTGCACAATTCCCGCATCACAGACTGTGCAGACAGGAGGTTTTTCTTTGCCTTTGACAGAGTTTTGGACATTCTGCAGAGCAGCGCCCCAATATTCCTACGGAACATTTCCTTGACATTTCCCGTTTGCTTGAGATACACCTGGGGTTTTTTTTTTTTTTTTGGCTTCTGCTCCTGTGGGATGCATCGACCTGAGCAAAAAGCAAAGTAGGAAATTGTTGGCAGCTCAACATCCGGCAGAGAAAGGAGGAGGTTTTGATTTTAGATGGCGGAAGAAGCCACCGACACACGTCAACCTCCATAGTGTGGAGGTAAATGTGATGCAGCTCTGCAAAAAACCTGAATGTTGACAACTGACAAAATGTGAAACATGGCGGCACAAGTCTGAGAGGGCAGAGAGAGGCAATGCTTTTCTACAGGCTGCTTTTAGTGTATGCAACAAGCTCTTGTTCCTTATTATATACAGGGCAGGGCATGTCAAGAAAACTACAATTTTGCAATTAATGTAGAGGTTGGAGTTGTTTTTCACTACACGCTGCATGTCAAACGTAATATTTTTCACTTCAACTATAAGACATTATTGGTTTTTCCACTGACTTGTTATCGTTATCCGCTGAAATGTGTCCACACAGTTTTGATTGATGACTTCTCCTAATTTGACATCAAGTGTTTCAATACAATTATTGGTAATGATTTCAACTAGTTTAGTTATAGTCACGGTATATAATCAGTTCTTTAATAATTGTATATTTGGTAATACTACTAAGATTTCCTTACCAACAACACAAGTAAAGCTGAACCTTTTCTGTATGTGAAATTGTCATTTCCTTACTTATTTCTTTAAAATAGCAACCCAATTCATTATTCCTTCAACAATATATTAATGGAGAGCACTTCTCAATCACAAAACATTCGGCAGCTTCATCTCAACCATCCCATATTTTCCTCATGGCCACCTGAAAGCAAATGTACATTTTGTACCTTGTCCATGGACAAGGCTTTCAAACAGTTTCCAGTTGTCTTTTTAATTAAAACTGATGTAAAATGAGAAGTGTTTTCAATGGTTAGGCGCCATGTATTAACCAGACTTCGAAGCTCTTCTCTCTCTGATAAAGGCCCTTGTACTGCGGCTGAACTATGATAATGTTGGTCTTTTTATTAGGTATTAAATACTCTTTGAGCCTTTTAGCCAAGACTAAAGGCTATAATTCCTCACTGTGCACCTCTGCACTTTATGATTTTGCATTACTTCATGCATTTATGCCCCTTTGTTGTGTTTATGCCTGACTGCACAACGATTAAAGTAAACCTTGAACCTTGGTCTTAGAGAAGGCACATCGTGTCTTCAGATTGGCACGAAAACTGAGGAAACCTTCTCCACAATCGTTTCTGTTCAGTACACGAGGTAAATAAAGAAACTGTTGCAACTCAGCTTAAGAAAGAGAATTCATCCTTTTAAGGTGGAATACTGAATAAACAAAAAGAAACACAGAAGAAAGGACAGAGAAGCAAGAGTTGCTTTTTTTCCAGATGTTTTATGTTTTTGATGACAGCAGAAAAAACAAAAGTACAGATTTATGTTCCTTTTATTTCTTAATGTTTGGAGAAGCCTACGAGATGAGGGGATCACAAATGAAAACTCTAGAGGATGAAGAACTCAATAAATAGAAACAGGCAGAGAAAGTGAGAGAGAGAGCGAGAGAAAGAGAGAGCGAGAGAGATCAAAGGAGGGTCTGAACTTCACAATCAAAGAAGAAAAACGAACAGAAAGGCGCTTCCCACTGCTGAGACCCCCCTTCCCACCGCTTAACTCCCAAGTAATGCAGTGTGAAATGTAAAACAGGGCCACAGACACAATGGTCCACAGTGTTGTCAACAATCATCAAGACAGAGATTCAGAGGGAGATCTTACACTTAGGCTCAGTATGCAAGGTTCCACTTTGGGCTTTGTCATCTAGGCTACATTTCTTCTATTTTTAGTTTGCTTTTCTTTTTTTTCCCCCCAAACTTCTTTTTCACCTCATCTGTATCTGAAAGGTGAATTTGTTAACTGCCATTGGACGGTCAGCTATCTTCGGCGTCATTGTCACGTAGTCGTTGCGGTGTGGCTATCGCTAGCAGGCTCCGGCTGGGCTCTGCATCCCATGGCGTCTACGATGTCGCTCAGGATTTGATATTGAGGGCGCGAGCAGACCTGTCGTGGTGCCAATCCCTCAGACGGGCATAGCGGGGACTCTGAATCTCAGTGAGGAACTTTTCCCTGACCGACAACAACAGAGACATGAAAACAGAGATAGGCAGGAAGGAAATGGATGGTAGGGGAGAGAATAAACACAAATAAGAGCATGAGAGAGCAGAAAGTGGAGTAAAGTGCACAAAAAGGTGGAAAAAGTAGCAGAGAAATAAAAACAGGTGAAACACCAAAGACGGAACAAGGATATGATGATAGGTCTGGAAGGCAAATATTGTGAAAGTGAAAGAATATTTTCATATTTTGGGAGACATGCTTATCCACTTTCTTTGCCAAGAGTTAAATGAGAAGATTGACTCTTCTGTTTGTTAAATACAGACAGTAGCCAAGTGCTGAGCGTGGCACAGAGTCTGCAAACAGAAGCAAACAGCGAGCCTGGCTCAGTCGGAAGGTAACAAAATCCACCTCCCAGCATGAAGCTCATTAATGAACACGTTTCATCCCGTTTATTTAAAACATACTAAAAGCACAAACAACACAATGTGGTTTCAAGGGGCATTGTGTGTCGTGCTGCATCTTAACCAGTCACTTCCCAGAGTCTATGCTGGGGGCCTCGCAACCTCGTGGTAATGACGAGACTCCCAGAAGTTAATGCGCTCGGCTGAGGAATAGTCAATGGGTGGTGGTCAGTTTGTTACCTTTGAACAGAGACAGATTAGCCGTTTCCAGTCTTTATGCTAAGCTAATTGGCGGTTGGCTTATGAGCTGGGATACAGACGGGGGGGGGGGGGAAATATCAGTCTTCCCAGCTATTCCACGGCAAGAAAACAATTATTTTATTTACCCAATGTTCAATTTCTTAAAATATAATGATGCTATGAATCAATAATAATAAAATAATCAAAAGGATGTACAAATCACACCACAACATGCCAGAAGAAGCACAATTCAAATAAAGGTGGGTTTAAACCTTGAATTTCTGAAATAGTTGCCAAACTGAAGCCTTCCACACACAAATGCACAAACACTGGAGACGTGTTCAAATCAATGAAACGCGAGATTTTACCTGGACCTCTTCATGATTTCATCATCTGGGTCCTGCACTGAGAGATCCAGGAGAGACACACATTAGCATGCCCTTCTGTTAAAGAAAGTGCTTTTCAAAGACAAACAGCTGACCACGTGCGGTTCTTACACAGCCTCTGTAGTAATAAACCTGTACATCTGTTCCTCAGACCGGTTACAGTCATGAGCAAATCTGTGTCACTGAAGACAGCAGCCGCCTGACAGTTGAGGCCCCTCTCCACGGCAAAGAAAAATAAAAAATGAACACCCCCTGATATCCACCTTTCCTGTATCTCCCACTCTGCTGCCACTCTCACCGATAGTCGCTATGATCGGATCACATTAGATCAACTGCTCAGTCACAGGCCTTCACCTACACCTTATCTCGACTACCAGAGACGCCCACCCCTAACCCATCACTCTCTGTTGTCTCACTCTGCCGAGTACGCCAGGTCTGGTCCCCGACTTACTGAAGTCGGTGCCTGTGAGCTGGGCCAGGATGCGGAAGGAGCGGGACTGGGTGGTGCCGGTGCGGGGCTGCCAGTCCTCAGTGTCCTGGATCAGCCTCTCCTTGCTGCGGTCGTTGGGGATAAAACAGGCCAAGTTCTCCACCCTGAGGCCGTGCCTGCACACACACCCAGCAGCAGCACACAGCAGGCGCGGTTAACACAAGCCCAACGAGGGACTACCCACTCACACCAACCCGGCTAATCAAGACGACATTGAAAATAGAGGACATCCTGCATAGATCATGCAATACTTAATGCTCAGCATCACGGTCACGCAATAAGCGAGCTAATGGACATCCATTACTTAGATTACTCATGGGCACAC